TCTTTTACATTACTTTTTAAATGCTATAGGTTTCATGTTTGCTTTTTTTTTGTTTTTGTTTTTGTTTTTGTTTTTTTTCCGATACCGGGAATCAAACTCACGACTTCGCGCTTGCCAGGCAGGCGCTGTGCCACTGAGCTAAATCCCCAGCCCTTCATGTTTGCTTTTTAAATGGCTAATATAGTATCCTCATGACCAAATTGAATTTGATAATCAAATTTGAGTAATCTAAATTGCTTATTTACACCAAAACAAAATACTACAGACTCAAGAGTTAAATGGTAACTACAGGCTTATAAAATGGAGTAAACATTAACTTTGGCATGAACTTTGATTTTTAATAGTTTTCTGATGTAGGAACGGAGTTCTGTTTTTAGGAATCTACTAACCCAGGAACAAAGCAGTGCCAGTAACTGTAACATCCACTCCTTAGAATGGGTGGTTTTGTTTGTAGCCACGCTTTGCCCTAAGTAGGTGTGCTAGTCAGCTTTCTTGCTGCTGGGACAAAGTAGCTGACACACACAATTAAAGAAAGAAGGGTTTGATTTGTGGCTTCAGAGGTTTCTACCATGGTTGGCTGGCTCCAAGGCAAAACACCACAGTGAAATAGCACAGTGGAGAAAAGTTGCCCACTTCATGGCAGCCAGGAAGCAAAGTGGGAAAAGCTAGGAAGAGCAGGGCCAGGGACCACATATTATCCTCAAGGTCACGCCCCTATGACCCACCCACCCACACACACGGAAGTGTGTGCTTTACTAATCTCCTAGGTGTCTCTTCAAGCAATCAAGCTGACAATCTAGATTAAGCATCACTGTAGGATAGTAGGATTGGACCCTTTCATGTTTTCTTCCCCAGCTTGCTGTCTCAGAGCTGGGTCTCTTCCAAGAGAACAGAGAAGACAAAAAAAAAAGGCAGCTCTTTCCTGAACAGCCCGATGGCAGGTGAACTGGACTTCCTTCAGTCTAGCACTGCCTGCAGCCAGCGAGTGAATACTCGGAGACCTGTTCCATCCTCGTGGAAGTTGGGCTCTGGGAGAATGCTTACCCATGCCCTTTTTGGCTCCTGACTCTCCTTCCTCCCATGCAACACAGCTTCAGGAGCCTTTCTTTTGAGTAGGTACCAGTCCCCCTCCTGAGTTTGCATTTAATGGTTGGAGAGCAGAGGGCTGAGACAGCACTCTCCCTCTGGCAATGAGCTCAGTGGCTCAGGAAGTAATGAGAATCTTCAAGAGAAAATAAAAACTCAGAATCCTTTCAAAAGTGCACTGCATCATCAAGTTTCAGTCCTCCAGTTTCAGCTCCTCTGCCTTAGACTGTCCTCCATTCCTTGACTCAGAACTAGTAGGGCAGGCTGAGAGCTCACCAATCAATCAGTGTTAGAGCTGAGAGGGTTTTAACATTCATCTGATCCAATTTTTTCATTTTATAGTTAAAAAAACTGAAGTCAAATAACAGCATCCTTTAAATTTGGAAACTCCACTGTAGATAGCATAGCACAAAACCATAACCAAGACTTTTATGGCTCAGGTCACAGACCTGTTTCTTTTCTCTAATTTATCAAGCATCTCTGACATTTTCAAAACCATTTTTTCTATATGCCTTCGGGTGCTGTGATCTTTTTTCCTACTCAGATGTGAAAGAAGACAGAGTTAAGCAAGAATGTCTTTCTTTTTTTTTTTTTTTTTTGTCTTTTCAGAAATCACTCAAGTTTAAGGATGTGGCTGGAAAGTTCTCAAAGGACAGAGAAGCAGCTGCTCCCTCCTCAGAGGGCCCTTTGCAGGAAGGTGATGTTAGGAAGTTATTGGGATTTTGTTTCCAGGTTTACTGCCTGCCGTTCTTGACACATAATCAACTGCCCTGATCATCCCATGTTTCTCTGTGTAGGTCCTCTTTTTTGGCATATACCTCTCCCTGCAGTGCTCTTCTTTTGGCTGTTAAGGTGGTTAATTTCCCTCTGTCAGTTCTCACCTCAAATGTCACTTCCAGATGACCATTATTTACAGTCCCTCTAAAGAAGCCCCTAATCCAGTTCCCACTCCATACTCATCACCAGGTGTAATATTATTCTATTTCTTCTTTGTTGTATGTCTAGTAGAATAATCATCATAAGGGCATGGATTGTTTCTGTCTTGTTCATTAGAGTCCCAGTGACTTTTTCTGTACTGGCATGTAAAAGGAACACTCAACAGTAAATATCAAATGATGAATAACTGAAACATTCTGGGGGCTAAATGCTCATCTTCCACTTCTAATTTCTATTTAAACCTTTTTTTGTGATTTTTTTCAGGCTCTCCCTCTGTTAAGGTACTCCCAATAAGTCAGGCAATGTTTTGCATTCATTCTTATCATATACAAATTGTATTTTTAACAAACACTGAAGGCCAGTTATATGTTATCTATTTGCTTTTTTTTTTTTTTTTTTTTTTTTTTTTTTTTTTGGTTTTTCTCCGGTACCGGGAACCGAACTCACGACCTTGCGCTTGCAAGGCAGGCGCTTTGCCGCTGAGCTAAATCCCCATCCCTCTATTTGCTTTAGAATCCAACAACCAGAATACAATCCAAATGTAGGCTGTTTCTGAAAAAAGTAAAATCACATGCACACAAAATGGAAAAACTGGGGACACACAGTCCTCTCTATTCCACATATAGCCTCGAAAAAACTGAGAGCAGAAAGAAGGAAACTGAAGAAATCTTCACTCAGGGAGAATGACTCAAGCGAAGGATCTACTCCTCCCAAGAAAGCCAACTGTAACATAAAAAATTAGGAACACAGCATATTTAGAAACACCTTATATAACCATTTATCTCCCATCCACCACCAAAGGATACACACTGAAGAGAAGTCCTAGACTGTCAAAACTGTAGTCTTCAGTTACAGGAGTCATCTTAGGAAGCATCTATGTCACACATGGAGGAGAGCCTCTCTGTATGCAGGGAATATGGGAAAAAATTTTTATGACTAACCCGTACTGAACATCAGTGAACTCACACTGGAGAGAAATCCTTTCACTGTAACAAATCTGGCAAGCCCTTCTTTGTCCACTTATCTTTTACTTGACATCAGAGAATTCATACTAAGGAAAGTCCTTATGAATGAGGAAATTACAAAATGTGGGAAATCCTTTAGCCAGAAAAGTCTATTGCTTGCCAAAGTTTACCACACCAGAGACCAGCCAGGGGTGTGGGGCAAAGTTGTGTTTGATCATTTATCTCCCATTCATTACAGCAGAGTGCACACTGAAGACTCCTTTTGGATTTGATGAGTGTGGGAATATGTTCTCTAATTGCTCACCCCTTTATCAGCATCAGAAAATCATGGTGGAGATGAGCACTAAATAAAGAAAAGCCTCCCTCCAGAAAGGATAGCTTATTCAACATAAAGAGAATGCACAATGAAGAAAACTGCTACAAATGCAGCAAGTGTTAGTCTTAGTCAAGGAGAAAGTGTTCAGTTATAGTCCAGCATCAGCAACATTAGGCCAAACAATATTGGAACATAGTAGTCCTTCAGAAGACAAGTGATCCCCATAGAGTCTTAACATGCTTTTGTGGAAGATAATATGTATGTCTGAGCACCTTCTAACTTCTGCTTATCCTCATGCCTCCATGTGGCACCACAGCTCCATTAATAGTCTTAGTCAAGGAGGAAAACCAGTTTCTACATGCAAAATAGTAGTCAAATTGTCTCATCTGCTGAAACAGGTTGTGAGATGAGGACTGAGAACTGGAAATTTGGTTTAGTAACAAAAGAAAAGGACTTCTGTGATTGAGATGATCAGGAACAGGGGAAGAAAAGGCATGGCCTGGTGTCCCGGAAAGATCAGCTGGGAGTGTCCTTCAAACACGTCTTCTGAAGGAAAACTGCTCATCTCTTACCGCCTGCTAATGGAAGGGTGAAGACATGCTTTTGGGGTGGCCTGGCTTTTCTCGACCCCAGGCCCTTTCACAGATCTAATCTAAAGACCAGTTAGATTAATGAGACTTCCTATGTAGTAGAAACTCCAAATAATAGTGGCTCATACAAATTGGAAGTTTGTGTCTCTTTTGTGTTGAGGCTCAAATTCTGTTCCATCAAACTGTCAGGGGCTCAGTTCCCTCTGTCCTATTTGCCGTTCCTAAAGTGCTAATCTCATTTACAGGGCCCATGATGACTTCTTGTCTGTGCTCAAGCCAGCATGGGGTAAGGTGCCAAAGGAAAGCTCTCCCTTCCCTCTGAGAAGCACTTTTGCTTTCAGCCCTTTGGCAAGAGGCAGGAATGATGAAAAATGAAATCCACCCTGGAGCCTCAGATCCAGCTAAAGGTAGAGTCTATTGAAGAAAGGGCAATTGGACCTAGTGGCTTCCATTCAGTGACATATTTACAATCAAATTTTCTTTTTTGAGAATATAAACTGGACAACAAATTGATGACTTCCTTGCGGGAAGATAAGCAAGCACACACTGTGTTTCATTAACCCTTGTGATCGCGGGAAGCTGGAAACAACTTTTCAGGTTCCTGTCTCCCGGGAGGCAGCAGCACCTTACAGGTTTTTCTTGGGAGCTGGCTATTTCTGTGTTGAGGCAATTTCTGTAACTGAAATTCCACCTTTCCTGATTCAGAAGGGCAGCCTGGAGTAAACATACCTGCTTACTCTAAATAAACTGAGGCAATCTCTGTCCCAGCCACACGGACCCAATTAATGCAGATCTAGCGGAAAAGTACGAATGGCAGTGAGGGAGCATCCAAGCACTTCCCCTTGGAGCAGAGTAGTTAAGATGGAAAGTTTACGTGGCCAAAGGAGCCGCCTTCCGGGGCTAAAGCAGAGGAGAGCGAATGTCCCAGTTATGAAGTGACCAGAGACCAGACTCTGCATGAAAAGAGGTTGCCGTTAAAGAACCATGCGTAGAACAAGGAGATACACGCTCCTGCAGGCGAACGGAAACGCACGGACGCGCCGCGGGGGGCCTCTGGGAAGCAGAGCCCAGGAGCCAGACGCGCCCTGCGGAGGATTCTGGGAATTGTAGTTCAGCCTCGAGATCGGCATCCGTGACTCGGCCCCACCAGCTCTTAGTTGCCATTGTTACCCAGCGTGGGTTCCTCCGTGTCGGTCCTGGGCTGGAGGAGGGCTGAGTGCGGAGATTTATGAGTCTGAGTGCCCTAAAGTAGAGCGGCGGAGGGCCTCGGCGGGGGTCGCGCGTTCCCAGCCTCTCGGTGGACCCCAGCGGTCGGCCCTGGCCCTGGGCGGAGGAGGGAGTCGCGATGGATCCTGGGGGCAGAGGTGAGGACCCAGCAGTGAGGGGGCCGCGGTGCCCACGCGAGAGAAGGAGGCGAGAGAAGTTGCCCGCAGGCTGGGCAGGCAGTCGCAGCGGGGGGACCAGCATCGCGTCCTCCCGGGAGAGAGTGGCTTCCTGCTATTGGCCTCACGCCGCGGTTCCAGGGACAGCCCGCTGTCCCCATTTCCCAGCTGGTCTAGAGTGACAGATGCCTCCGTGCCCCCCAACATCAATAGACCTGACAGTTTGCCTTTTGATGATGACTTCCTTTTTGTCCCCGTATGAAGTCAATGAGGCAGTACAATGGAAACTATTTGACACATTTGGCAGGTGGGGAAAGCCAGAGTGTGGGATTTATTTACAATCCTGGTTTTTTTGCTGCTATTGTGGAGTCCACCATTCCATTGCTTTTCTGAGACAGCTAGCATTGCATGGAGAAGCCAGTATTCCCATTTAGTCCCTTTACTTCTTTGAGCGTGGAATGCAACGGAGACAAATCATTTAAGGTATTGATTGACAGAGACTTTGAGTATTGTTTTGGCTATTCAGCAGATAAGTGATAGAAGTATGCATTTAGTTTGTGTGTCCGGATTCTCAGGAGTTTAAGGGCAGAGGAGGGCAGAAGGAATTTGAGGCAGCCAGAGTCACAGCTGTCTTGTGTCAAAGACTTCCTGGGATTGGCCTTTGGTCTGCTATCTTGACTCGTAGATGAAGTAGCTGGTTTCTGGCAGTTTCTGCTGGTTTACTGCAAGTCCAGAGTAATTGTCATGGCTCCTGTCTCCACTTATAGGTTCACTTTCTGAGGACTCAGACCTTCCTGGTGCTGAAAATGCAGAAGAAAATGGCATGACTGATAGGCTGCTGACCCCTGGGTCCCAGGTAAGTTTAGATTTCTTCTTTTTTTTTTCTTCAGTTTTTAGCATGGGTATGTTTCCTTCCATTGCTCAGAAAGACCTTGATTCTTAGGCCATTGAATTCATCCTGGTAAATGATGAGTGATGAACTTTACAGGAAATGCTCCTCCTTGAGCAGAACTTTCCTTCTCAGCAATGCTTCTTCTCCACCCTCTGAGTGCTTGCTGCACACTTACTGACCACTCAGTGCTGTCTGTGGCCTTGTGGGGAGATGCAAAGTAATAACAGCCACTAGTCTTGTCTTGGGGAGTTTCCTGAGGCAGTGAGATATGGATAAGTAAAATAGTTAAACCATACAAAGAAATATATATATATTTAATGAAGAAATAACTGGTTATGAACAAATCATCAGAGACCCTAAAGGAGGTTTTCCATTATCTAGAGTATTTGAGACAAAACCTTTGGAAAGCTAGAGAGAGTATATAGTTGAAGAGGAGAATACAGAAATATTCCAAGAGAGAAGACATCTTTGGCAAATAAAAAAGAAAACAAAAAGAAAGGAAGAGTGAGTCTTGAAGGCATGAGAGAGTTGGAGGTCATGGAGGGGTGTGAGTCACGGCGGCAGGGGTGGGGTCCAGTGGAAGCAAGCCAGAGTACAGTGAGGAAAACGTGGAGGTGGTAGAACAATCTACACTGAATCTTATGCTGCAGACAAATAGGCCTTGTGAAGATTTTTAGAGGCTCAGCAAGATGAAACATGTGGTGGTTGATTGCAGACAGAATATCAGTAAAGGTGCCTTGGTAGGACCTGGCTGGGACCTGGCTGAGAAGCAATCCCTTTGGGACAGGAGCTGTCCTAACTCACTAGTGCATGTGCATCAGGTCAGACCTCAGGGTGTACAAGTGCTAATGATCCATGTAAAACCCTGGGAGAAAAATGCCAGTATTGATTTTGATCTATAAACCAATCAATTTCAGAGGAAATAGTAGAGAGAAAGTCAGTAGTCGTGCTGGCCAGTGTCTAGCTGGCCTGGCCATGCCCTCCAGCCCTAGTACATATGCTCTTAAGTGAGTTTGATTGCTGAGGGAACTAAAGCCTGAAGGGACTTCCAAGTAATCTTATTGGTGTTAGCACTGTCTGTGAAGAGAAAAGCTGTACAGATTATATTGCTTGTGTTGATCCCTCCTGAGGCATATGCCCTTAAGGTACCATAAACTTAAAAAGTATAGTGATTTCATACTTGAAATGTGAGGATAGAGAATATATTTTGGAGGGCAGATTTCCAAAGTAGGCAGTTCTTTTAACTTTATTTAATTTTGTGCATTACTTTATCAGTTTTTGTGTGAGGAGTATATCATATACATTAGAATACTGAATGTAAATAATTAATTATTTATATATAGTCACACAGCATGTAAAGACCTTTCAGGCAACAGTGGACCATATGTACAAGGGTTGTCCTGTACTATTATATTGTTTAGTAATGTCATATGGGCATTAAGGACATTCTACAATGTTTGCTCCAGGATAAACTTGCCTGATGACACATTTCTCAGACCATACATGTATCCATTGTTAAGTGAGACACAACTGTATATTCAGGGGCTAGTGGCAAAAGTGGTAATTCAAAGAGGGGTAAGACTTACTCATTTGCTAGCAACCCAGGGACTGTTTTACTATATTTCAGTCAAATTATACTTGTATAGAAATTATTTAAATAGATTAGAAAGAATTACTAGACATTTGTCTTGCTAGAAGTAAATAGATTCAAAGGAACATTTCCCCTGCTTGCTCCCTCCTCCCACACTTTAGTAGACAAACTAAACTTTGTGCCTAGCACATAGATCAAGATTAGGGTAAAGACTCCTATAATATTTTCAGTGTTTGATACAGTTCTGTTTGTTTCTCCTCTTTTTCCCTATACACTTTTAAAATATATATATATTTAAGTACACACATATTTCTTACTAATTTGTTTCTTCCCTCACTGAGCTATTCAGTGAAGTCCTTGGAGTCCTTGCCTGTGCCAGGTTCTTCAGTAAGTACAAACAGACCTGGCTTCTGTTCTGTGGAGCTTACTGTCTAATGGAGCAGACAGTTGTTAATCCTGAAGTCCCTCATCCCCTCCATTTTTCCCCCAAAGGGAAAGAAGGAAGAGGGTGCTGCAGTTGGAGTCAAGGAATTCTTCCCCAAGGAGATGAACCTGAGCTGAGGTCTGAGGTGTACCTAGGATTCAAATAGCTGAGAGGTGAGGGCAGTGGGAAGAACATTCAGACACAGGAAGTAGCAGCTATAAAGCAGCACAAGGGAATGGGACACACATTTTAAACAGCTGAAAAAGACTCCCAGCCTGAGCACAGGAAATGGAGGAGGAGGAGTATACAAGGAAGTAGAGAACAGATGAGGAGTCAGGTCCATGAGGACCATTGTGAGAAATGACAGAAGCATTTTGTGTACTTTCATAATAATTTGGGCTTGATTAAATCCATATTCTATGACAAACATATCAAAAATCTCCATTTTTAATCTGTATATATATTAGACCGATTTATTCCAAAAGGAAAGCTAGAGAGAAAAATGCTTCATATTTCACTTATATTTTAACAACCATTCTATAAAGAAAATATTTAATTTATAATTATATTTTCTCCTTTTTCCAGTGCATAAGCAGTAAGGACTTCTACAATTGTATAATCTTAATTTACTGATACATAAGTGAAGAACGTGGAACCTTCAGGTTTGACTTTAAGATCCTTTCCCTCCTGCTGGCAGGTACTATGCAGTTCTGATGCATAGAGAGTGAGAGCATGGACAACACATAGGTCAGAGAATCTGACCAGGGGAAGGACTGACAAAGTCATTGTGTCTCACCTTCCATCCTTCCTGTCTTCCTTCTCCTATGCTATCAGTTTTACTTCTCCCCAGAGGCCTCTAGAAGGAGGCCCTTTGGTGAGCATCAATGTGTTATGTGTTTCAGAAACCTTCGATGATCAGAGATATGGCTGCAGCTCTCACCCAGTGGGGACAGCTGGACCCTCCTCGGGGAGACGTGCCCGGGAAGCCTAGGAATCTGGTCTTGCTGGGTAAGGATGGCTCCACTGTCCCTGAGGATTTACCCAGTGTGATACCTTTGCTTCCTCAGTTCCTGTGCACCCTGAAGTACTTAGATTCAAAGATTTTTAATTTCTGCAAGGCATGAGACAGGCAGTTCCTACTTTTTGTTTCAGGATTTTTTTTTAGCATTTCTTGAGCTAGAAAGACCCATAGACCAACACCTTTATCATAGCATCCTTTTCTGTTCCTTGACCAAAATGTCAAAACAAAGTTCTAGTGAAAAGTATTCTTAAAGAAATGGTTGCTTGTTCTCTCAATAGGGAGAGGTAAAAACAAGTAATTTGGTTGTTTAGAGCTCAGATAAACCCCATGTCAACCTGCCTACCTTCTGAGCACATTTGGGGAAGAAATCCAGAACTGACTTCTATCTCTCATACTGTCTTCTCTTAAGACCAAGGAGCTAGCACTGAGCTCTTTACCAGACTCCTGTTGTTTTCCTCATGAACAGGGCTTCCAATTTCCAAGCCTGATGTAATCTCTCATTTGGAGCATGGAGAAGAGCTGGAGAGAGAAGCCTCAAAAGCAGCCAGTCGAGGTGAGTGAGTACTGGGGACAGTGAAAATAAAACCTAAATGGTTGTGGCTATGCTTGTGGAGGAGCCTTTGCAGATTCCACAGACCCATGGAAACCCAAGGAAGCAGAGTGCAGTCCCTCCTGGGCTCATTCCAGCTCTGTGGTTGATGATCTCTTCATGAAGTTAGAGTATTATTTTTTAGTGAATAAATAACTGTATGCCCTTTCAAACCATTTCTTTTTCCCAAATGAGATGAAATGAAACCAATATCTTAATAGTTGTTAAGAATTTGCTTAGATATAAGGCTCTAAGCCAGGCTTTTTCACATATGCTAATTAATCTCCACAGGATAAATGCTGTTTCTTGAGTCTCAGACCAATGACTATGAATTCATCCCTGGCTTTTCCCTCTCCAGCCAGAGACAGCATAGCAGAGCATGTGGTTAAGAATACAAACTTTGGAATCAGTCTTCCTAGATTGAAAGCCTGTCTTAGGTACACACTAGCTCTGTCATCTTTAATAAGTGACTTATCCTCCCTTTCTCTGAGATTCTCCAGCTATAAAATGGGAATAATGATGACTCTTAATTCAGAGTTGTGCTGAGGATCAAATGACATAATTAAAGAGTATTGTTTAGAACAGAATGCTATTAATTAAATATTGGTAACTTTTTTTGGAAGATGTCATGGATTTGACCCTATTCTGTCAACTGGATTACTGCAATTGACTCCCAGCAAACTATACTTTTTTCTTTCAGATTCTTATATAATAGAAACAGCATAGTACTGCTAAATTACTCTTCTAGTGCTGTTTTTCTCTACCTAATTTCAAGGCCTTTCTTAGACTACCTGCCTGAACTTTTTACCTTCTCTATTCTTCAGCTTGAGCTTTAACATCAGATAGTCAAGCTCTGTAGTATCCCTACTCCCCATATATTCTCCACAAATATTTGGAAATTTCATTTTTCACTCCTCTTAGCTGGATATCAATTTGTCTTTAATCTTTTTTACATAGTTGTGATGCAGTTTATAGCACTGTATTGTACTGATTCATTTCCCTTAGAGACATGCTCAGATATGAAAGACCATCTGTATTAGATGTCTGTATTAGACATCTTTTTTCTGTTGCTATAACCAATATCTGAGACTCAATACTTTATTTTAAAAGTTTCATTTAGCACACAGTTCTGGAAATTTAAGAATATGATGTTAAGCAAAATAAATCAGACATATACATTCAAATATTACAGGATTTCTGTTATATGAGAATATATACAGACACACATAAAAAGCAAAATAGAAGATAAAATGTAGGAAGAAATTCAAATACTTCCCCAAATTACATATTCCATTGTTTTAAAAATATTTTATGTATATGCTAATTAGTTTTACTATTAGTTATATTACTTCATTGAAAAGAAAGTTTTGTGTTATTATCAGTTTGTTTATTTTTTGTAAGAGTCTTTCTGGTTTATGTCTTATATCCTGAGTAACTACTTTGAAGGTAACAATACACAGAATATTAACTGTTGTTATTCTCTTATTATTTTGTTATTAAATTTTTTTTCATAAAATAAAAAAGTAAAAAAGAAAACCTGAAGGGTGGCTCTTGCATCTGCTCAGTCCTGGTGAGAGTCCTCTTGGCTCATCACAGTATGGCAGAGAAACTGAGTAGGAAATGGTCATATAGAGAATGCACCATGCTCATTGTGTGGATCCCTTGCAAGGGTGGCACCTCTATGCCCTGTATTACCTTCTGCTAGACCCCACCCTTTAAAGAATCCACTGCCTCAATACTGCCACATTAGGTCACCAGGCTTGCAACACATGGGCCTGTGGGAGACACATTCAAATTGTATCCAAACCATAGCACCATCTGAGCCTGAATTTATGCAGCTGGTTCTTGCTGTGAAAGTTTTCCCCCTAAACTCTTTACCAGGAAGCCAAAGTCTGAAGATACATAGGTATCATAACAGTTTGGGGAGAGTCTGAGGACATGGAGCTTGACCTTCTTCTCCTAGCACACTGCTCTTTTCACTTTCTTCTGCTGCTGCTCCAGTTTAATTGGTTCTACTTTATTCTTTCCAGTTTGCTGGGTATGGGGTTATGGTAAGCAATCAGTGATCAATTTCTTCCTAATTACTAACCTTTATGATATGTGGAATTTGTAGATCTAGGCCACATTGAATGCAGACCTCTAGAATTTATGTCTCATTTTGAGACTGACAACAGATTTTTGTGTAAGATACCTTTTTTATGGTGGTACTGGGGGGGTGCCTCATTCTAGGCTACATTCTTGTCCTGTTTTGATGGATTGATTGATTGATTGATTGATTGATTGTCTCACTAAGTTGTTAGGTTACCCAGGTTGGGCTTGAACACAAAATTCTTCTGCCTCAGGCTTCCAGAGTGCTAGGATTACAGGTGTGTGCCACCATGCCCAGCTAGAAAGGTGGTTTTTAAAAAATGGTCTCTTAGTAATTAGGACATAATAAATAGGAAAAGAATAATGACAAGGAGAGGAGCTAAAGACAGTCTTTCGTGAGGCCTGCTGTGAGAGGTTCTGTTGAGTTTGGCACAGTGGGTAATTCCCAGACTGTCTATTTCTGATCCCAGCCCTGCCTCTTCCAGAATGTGTTTTCCTGGCCATTTCCCTAAACCACCCCTGCTGAGTCTTGCTCTATTATGCCTCTCTCTTTCCTACCTGCTGCCTAGAAGAACATGGAGTGCCTACTCACCATCTCCCTTTATGCAGCTATACTTCTTTGTCTAGTCACATTTCTTTTCTTATGTCTCATAAGATTACAAGGCCATTCTTCAGAGCTTTAAAATTCTTGTGTTTCCTGTAAGCACTTTTTTCCTATAGTTTTTTTTTTTTTTTTTTTTTTTAATGACAGTAGTTAGTTTTCTCTCAGCATAGAAAATAACACCTGTATAATTTTCCTTCTTTCAGAGTGGGAGACAGTACCAGAAAGCAGAGCACTAACTCCAGAGAAGGATTTTTCTGAAGAATCAGCCCCTGGGGTGTTAATAGAACGATTTCCAAAAGAAGGTTCCAGTGAATGTGAGGACTCTTTAGAGAATCAGTTAAAAAATCATGAAAAACATCTAATACAAGAAGTTGTCACTCACAAGAAATTTTCTGGGGAGAAAAGTTACCAATGTGATGAACTTAGAAGAAATTTTAATCGACGGTCATTACTTGTTCAACAACAGAGAGAGAGACTTCATAATTGTGATTCATTTAAAAAGAACTTAAACCAAAATTCAGAAATAATTAGACATGAGAGAATTTGTGCAGGAAAGAAACCTTGGAAGTGCAATGAATGTGAGAAGGCCTTCAGTTACTACTCAGCTTTTGTCTTGCACCAGAGAATTCACACTGGAGAAAAACCCTATGAATGTAATGAATGTGGGAAAGCCTTCAGCCAGAGCATACACCTTACTCTACACCAGAGAATTCACACAGGAGAGAAACCCTATGAATGTCATGAATGTGGGAAAGCCTTCAGTCACCGCTCAGCCCTTATTCGGCATCATATAATTCATACTGGAGAGAAGCCTTATGAATGCAATGAATGTGGGAAGGCCTTCAATCAGAGTTCATACCTCACACAACATCAACGGATTCATACTGGAGAGAAACCTTATGAGTGTAATGAGTGTGGGAAAGCCTTCAGCCAAAGCACATTCCTTACCCAGCATCAGGTCATTCACACTGGAGAGAAACCTTACAAGTGTAACGAATGTGGCAAAGCCTTTAGTGACCGTTCAGGCCTTATTCAGCACCAGAGAACTCATACTGGGGAGAGGCCTTACGAATGTAATGAATGTGGGAAAGCCTTTGGCTACTGTTCAGCTCTGACTCAGCACCAGAGAACTCACACTGGGGAGAAACCCTATAAATGCAATGATTGTGCCAAGGCTTTCAGTGACCGTTCAGCCCTTATCCGTCATCAGAGAACACACACTGGAGAGAAACCTTACAAGTGTAAGGACTGTGGGAAAGCTTTCAGCCAGAGTTCATCTCTTACAAAACATCAGAAAACTCACACTGGTGAGAAACCCTATACATGTAAGGAATGTGGGAAAGCCTTCAGCCAGAGTTCATCCCTTTCTCAACATCAGAAAACTCACACTGGAGGGAAAACCAATGAATATAGCCAAGCCTTTAGTGAGCTTTCAGCCTTTGGCCAACATAAGAGAATTCATACTGGATAAATGGCACATTCACAGTGTTATCATAGAGCATTTACTATACATGTTATGAGGGCTACAAAGAAATGTAAGACTGTCAGAAAAAGTTATTCAACAGTCATTGTTGATGTGAGGCTTACTTAGATTGTGAAAGAAATGTTTTACATTTTTAAAAGTGTCCTAATGGAGGGCAATGTAAATTTCCTTGTGGAAAGAGGAAATTTATTTCTAATACCATAATGTGTATGTAAGTAACCAAATCCCTGAGAGAGAAATAGAATGTGCCATATTGGAAAGAGAACTTATTGGCTGGACTTGGTAGTCTTACGATGCTGAAGGCATAAGCTTATAACAAAGCAAGAGATCCTTCTAGGGAAATTGAAGACATAAAAATAAGAGATTGAGAATTCCTAATGAGTTTATCCAGGTTCAGGAATAGTGGAGAAATAAAAGTTGTCCTTCACCCATAAGTATAGGACACAAAAAAGATAGATGGAAAAGATAGACTAAGAGAATTGGGGAGAGAATTCCAGAAGTGCTATTTGAGATAATTACTCAACTGAGTATTCACAACCAGGAAGAAATTAAGACTTGTTAGTTGCTCAGTTGCAGTTTCTGTGAGGGAAAAACTGGGGTTTCTCCCCAGTTTTACCAGGAAGCTAACAACCTAGAAAGGGAAAATAGACATGTTTGAGGTGTTCAGTCTGTTTTAAGCTATCTAAATATACTGAGAATATTTATTTATAAAGATTTACCTCAGTTCTATGTAGATTATACCTTAGATTTTTTATAACATAGTAAAATTTAATTATACCCTTACACTGACATTATATATTAGATTGTGAGAAACTTGAAAAGACTGAAATTCTTGCCTCTCACCATTTACGTATGGATAGAGGCAGATAACATTTTTATGTATATATATTTTTGACTGAAACTTCAAAAATTATCACTGGAAATAATACTGAGTGTAGTGTTTTTAATTTTTTGAAGTTTCACTGTGATGTGTGTTGGTGTTTTGGGTTTGTTTTTTTTTTTTTTTAAGTGTATTTCCTTTTCTTGTATTTCTCATTGGAATTTGTTGAGCTTCGACCTGTATACTCACATGTTTTGCCAAATTTCAATTTTTAGACCATTTCTTCAAAATACATTTCAGCCCATTTTCTCCACCCCTTTTTTTCCCCTGGACTCTGGTGATAGAACTGTTCAACCCTTGATTGCAGTCTCACAAGTTTCAGAGCCTTCATTCATTTTTTTCATTGTATTTTTGTCTTCATTTGCTTGACCTGCTACAACAAAATCCCATAGATTGAGTGGCCCTAGAAATGTATTTCTAATAGTTCTAGAGGTTGGGGAGTTTAAAATCAGGGTGCCCTCTGACTCAATTTCTAGTTAGGGTTTTTTTGCAAGCTTAAGATGGCTGTGTATAATGGTACATTTTTACTCTCTCTTCACATGGATTTTCCCTAGTGCATACACAGGGGAAGAGAAAGAGTTATTGCCCCTTTCTTATGTGACCACTAGTCCTATTGGGTTTGGACCTTATCTTTATGACCTCATGTACCTTAGTTACCTCCTAAAGGCGCTGTCTCCAAGTACAGCTAAACTGGGGATTAGACCTTCAACATATAAATTTTAGGGAGATACAGTTCAGTCCATAGAATTTTACCTCTGCCCAGATTCAGGCCCATTCATGAAAAATACATTTATCCATTCCATCCTACCCTCCAGAATCTTAACTCATTCCAACATCAACCATCCAAAGTTTCATCTAAATGTCACCCAAATGTGTGAGAGACGGTAAGATTCATCCTGAGGCACAATTCCTCTCCAGCTGTGAACCTGTGAAACCAATGTATGAATTTCCAAAATCAGTGGTGGGCCTGGCATAGATTAGACATGCCCATACCAAAGGAGAGAAATTGAAAAGAGAATAGGTGATGGCACCAAACAAGCCAAAAGCCTAGCCAGGAAAATTTTATTGATCTTATTTTAAAATAATTCCCTTTGGTTTGATGCACTGTCTGTGGCCCCACTAAGTTGGCAGTCCTGCCTCAGACTCTGTGGCTCTGCTAGGTGTCCCCACCCCCAGTGCTCTACAGGGTGGTCTAGCCTCTAAGGTTCCAGCTGAAGGTTGTCTGGCCTATTGAAATAAAGGTGAAGTGGCTGGGTAAGCCCGTAAGCCACACCTGTGATCTCTGATTAAATGATTGTTCAGCCAAACCCTTAGTACTTTCCTCCTTTCTCTTTTTGCCATATGAATAGAACTTTCCAAACCTTTTAAGTTCTGCTTCCTTGCTTAGCATTCCATTCATCACTCATCTTACCGTTAAATCTCACTATAAGCAGAGAAGACCCAAGCTACACCTTCAGTACTATCATTAGAAATTTCCTGTTAAATACTTAATTTATTCAAGTTTTGCCTTTTACAGAATACTAGAATACAGATCAGACAAGTTACTTGTAACTTCATAAGAATCCTCTTTCCTCTCGAGTGCCAATGACATGTTCTTCACTACCATCTAAGTCACACCAGAAAGCCTTTAAATGTATGTCTAGCATCCACCTCACAGTTCTGTAACCTCTACCCAGGACCCAGTTCCAAGGCTGCCTGCACATTTGTAGGTATTTTTTACAGCAGCATCCCACTTTCCAGGACCAAAATCTTAGTCTGCTCAGGTTGTCATAACATAGTACCATACACTAGGTGGCTCAAACAACAGAAATTTATTTCTCACAGTTTTAGAGGCTACCAATCCAAAGTCAAGACCAGCAGGGTGCAGTTCCTGGTGCAGGCTCTCTTCCTTACTTGTGGATGTTTACCTTTTACTGTGTTCTCACATAGCCTTAGTTATGTGAGTGGAGAGGAAGCTGCCTTGCTCTTACAAAGCCACCAGTCCTGTTGGATTAAGACCCCAAATTTACAACTGCTTCTAACCTTAATTACCTCTTGATAGCCCATCTCCAAATATTGTCACATTGGAGGTTGGAGCATTGACATAATGACTTTTAGGGGGACACAGTTCAGTCCATAATACTATTATCTGTTGTTCACATTGGATACTTTCTATTCTGTTTTCAGTTTCACAGAGGTTCATCCTTCTGTGCTTTCTCTTGTGCTGTTAAGTCAGTCACTGAATTTCATTTCAGTTTTTGTATTTTTCAATGATTTTTTTCTGAGACTTTATTTTTTTAAAATTTGTGGCGTAAAATCCTAACATCTGTGTCATCTCTGCTGGCATCTGTGGGTTATCTTCATTCAATTTGAGATTTTCTTGGTTCTTTGTATGACTAGGGATTTTATATTGAAGTCTATAGACATTTGTAGTATTGTGAGGCTCAGTATCCTAATAAGTCTTCTATTGTGATAGGCCTCTTCCGTACTGCTAATGGAGAAGGGGAGGTGCTATCTCATTACCTAAGTTGATATTAAAAGTCCAGTTCCATCATGGGCCTCTGTTGACACTAGGGGAGGGGTTCTCAGTACTGCTGGGTAGGGGTGGGATTGATAGCTCCCCAGTAGGCTTCCACTGACCCTACCCTGGCTGAAAGAAACATGAATGTCTTGTGACTGTTCTGCCAACACCATGGAGTGGGGTTGGGGTGATCACACTATGGGCATTGGTATAAATCCTCACTGTCCGTGGAGCCTCCACTGACAGCTGTAGTGATAGGGAGAGAAGTCTCTGTGGGCAGAGTTGGAAGCCCAGTCCCCCACCCTCCCAATGTGGTGTCCATTGACACTGCTAGGTGAGAAGGAGGAAGGCATGGGATGTGACCACCTGTCTGTCCCCAGGCCTTCTCTTATGCCAGCCTGGCTGAGGGGGCATTGAGCCCATTCCATCCTGGTGAGGGAGGAAGTGGAGGCTCCACATTCAAGTCTTTTTGGTGGGAATAGGCTACAGATTTTTTTTTTTGTAGAAAGAGTAGGCTTTTCTTTTGCCTTTTAAACATCAATGTATGTTTGCATTTCTGGATTGCCAGTTGCTCCAGAAAGCAGCCTGGGGCAGGGAGGCAAAAAGAAGTTCGAAGAAATTCACCCCTGTGACATTTCTTAGGTTCCTAGGTGCCTAACCAGTGAATTATCTTCACCTTTTAGGACCTCCTCATGTTTGTTTTATATATAACTTCAAGGAGTTTTAGCTGTACCTAGAGGATTAGGAGAAGGTACTACTCCATCTTTCCCTTGGCATCCTTGTATTTGACGCTAATGACTGATCAAGTTGTGCTGAGTACAGCCCAAAGGTGTGTGCCAAACAGAGGTTACTTGTAGCCACCCAGAAGTGAGTACTGAGGGGACTGGATACTGGTTCGCCAAAGACAAGCTGCCTCTTGATAGAGAGAAGCAATAGCTTGCTTCATCTAGCATGGTGGGAGCCATACTGTTTAAACTGGGGAAACACCATTGTTTAATTGTGGACTACAGACTTTAGAAGGAAAGATAGATATGACTAAGAATGTAAACCATAATGTTTTTATTTGTATCTATGTTCCAAGAACGTTGAAAACCCCTGGGAATTTTAGAATTCTTTACACTTATTATCTATATGTGGCTATTTTAATTTGATATATAGTGTGATATCATAGAGAACCAACAAAATTAAAAAAGGAAAATAAGTGAGATTTGAGACAAGTACTTTCACTCTTTCAAACCTGTTTCCTCATATATGTTTCCAAAATGTGATACCTATTTGAGATAGTGATTAGAATTAGGTAGAAAATGGATGCAAATGTGATTTATAAACTGTTAAGTGCTCTACAACTTTTAAGTATTGTTTAGTCATTTATATGACTGATGTCTACCATGTGTGCTTTATGACAGTGTAGCTCAATAAAAGTGACTGTGAGCATAAGGGAATAAATCTTTTTATGTTTTTAATAAGCTTTCTTAAATGATAGTAAAGTGTGTATCTTTTATAGTAACCATGGTTTTCTTATTAATGTGGTAAGTAACACTGACGTTTTTTAATATGAAAGAATCCATGCATTCCTGGAATTTACCCAATGTAGTGACTTCACATCTTTGGAAGAGTTTAAATTCCTTGAATGTTTAGTTGCATTCACTTCCTAAACTGGGATTGTTGTATTTGTAGAATATGTTTCATTTTAGAGGCTAATCAAGTTTTTCTATTTTTTTTCTGGAAAGTTTTTGTTAGGTTCTATGGGGGGCTACAAATTATAAATTGAGTCTGGAGGACATCCAGGGCTGTCCTTGTCCTGCCCTTTGAGCAAGATTTGACCTTGGAAACTCCCTACTTTTTTCTGGCCATAGTTGAAAGCCCTAGGGCCAGTAACTGTTGTGGTACTCACAGGGCAAGATAAGACCTGTTGAGGAGAATAAGGCACCTAGGGAAACTGCACTGTCTTTATTGCCCCCGTCTCATCCCGGCAAGAATGCCTTGTTCTTACTAGCTCACCATAGTCGCCATTACTGTCCCCAGAAACACCCACTACCCTTCACACATTGTCCTTGACACAGATGTAATGAATAAATACTGAGGTTCTGGCTGCCTCATGGCCTTTTATTCCTTGCAAACAACTGGCCATCCCAGATCCCTAGTACACTGCTATTTTGTCTCTTGCTCTTTCTTCTCACCATGCAACACTTGGAAGGAGGTTGGAAACCACTGCAGGAGTCCCCAGTAAGGTTCTAAAAATTTGTGGTTTTGTTTTATGAGACATGGACTCACTATGTAGTCCATGTTGGGCTTAAACCCACAGCAGTCCTCCTGCCTCAGCCTCCCAAGTGCTAGGATAACAGGTGTGCAGCACCACACCCAGCTAAAATTTATATTTTTGTCATAAAGGTGTTAATATGTTTTTATTTTCCTTTTTGGCTATAGGTGTGTCCTTTCATCTTTCCTGATACTACTTCTTTATATCTCCTTTTCCTCTTGATTCTGTTTCCAGAAGTTTGTCAATTACTCTAGTCTTTTAGAATAACTCTTTAGACTTTTATAAAATTGCTTATCAAAGTATACTTTACATACAATTAAATTCACCCACTTAATGTTCAGTGAGCTCGGCAAAAGTAATGCCTGTATATCCATTACTCTGTGTGTAACACAATTACTGCTACTACTGCCGTTTCTCCTCCTCCTCTTTTTACTTCTCCTGTTCATCCTCTTCTTCTCCTCCTCCTCCTTCTCTTCCTATGCCTATCTCCTTTCTTCCCTTCCTTTCTTCTTTCCTCCTTTCTTCCTTTCTCTCTTCCTTCTATAAAGTTCTGCAAGTTTTAAGAGCTATGTAGATTTATATAACCATCATAGCAATCCAGGTACAGAAAACTAACTTTGTTGCACTAAAAATTTTCTAGAAACCTAACTTTTTTGCACTAAAAATTTTCTTTGTAGGGGCTGGGGATTTAGCTCAGTGGCAAAAGCGCCTGCCTGGCAAGCGCAAGGTCGTGAGTTCGGTTCCCGGTACCGGAGGAAAAAAAAAAAAAAAAATTTTCTTTGGGCTGCTGGTCTTTTTTGGACTGGCTTTTTTTTTTTCATTGCATATAAGGGCTTTGAGATTTATTCATGTTGTGTATATTATTTAATTCTTTTCATTTTATACACAATATTTTCATCTATCTACCCATTAAAGAACATTTGAGTTTTAAACTTTGGTGATTATAAATAAAACCAGTGCTGGGCATAGTGGTGCATGCCTGTAATCCCAGCACTCAGGAGGTTGAGGCAGGAGGATTGCTATGAGTTCAAGGCCAACTTAGGCTACATAGTGAGTTCAAGGCCAGCCTGAATGACATAGTGAGGCCTTGTCTCAAAAAGCAAAAAACAAAACAAAACAAAAAACCCTAACTAGTATAAACATTTGCATTTAAAATTTTGAGTCAACATAAGTTTTCATTTCTGTAGTGTAAATACCTGGGAGAGAAAAGACTAAGGCATGTGGTAGGTGGATGTTATCTTTGTAAGACAGGACCAAACCATTTTCCAGAGTGGTTGTATAATTTTGTAGTACCACCAGCAGTGTTCAAGAGATATAGTTGTTCCACATCCTACCAACACATGGTATTGTTGCCATTTATATTTTATTCATCCTAAAATAGTTGGTAGTGGTGTCTCATTATGACCTCTATTAGTATTTCCTTAATTTCTAATGATACTGAGCATCTTTTGATGATATGTTTATTGACCCATTTGCATCTTCTTTGGTGACTCTTTTTGCACTTTTGAGATTCTGTAGTTTCATAGTCTGTGGCTTGTCTTTTTATTCCTTTTTATTTCAATGTCTTTTAGAGAGCAAAAGTTTTAAATTTTAATTAAATCCAATTGATATTTTTCCTTTTTTGGGCCATACTTTGGTGTCATGTCAAAGAATTCCATCCCTAACTAAAGTTTAGGAAACTTTTCCCTACTAGTTTATTTACCCCTAAGGTCTATTTTAGTTAGTTTTTGTACAAAGTATGAAATACAGGTTCAGGTTCTTTTTTGTGTGTGTTGATCCAAATTTTCCAGCATCATTTATGGGAAAAAAATAAAAATACCCTTTCTGAACTGAATTACCTTTGTAGGTTTGTCAATAGTCAACTGATCACACTTGTAGCTTCTATTTCTGGGTTCTCTGTACAGTTCCATTGGTCTGTATAATTATCCTTTTGCTAAAACTACACTTGCCTTGGTTACTGTAGCTTTATAGTTAGTCTTAAAATCAGGCAATGTAAATTCTCCAAATATATTTCTATTCTAATTTATGTTTCTATATATGTATATATATATATATAATGTCATTTTATTTTATCTCTTGAGATTACTCATTATCTGAATGCAAGAAGGGTTGTTTCTCTGGTGCTCTTGTTTTATCATTACCCAATGACCTTCTTAGACTTAAGAGTATTTTGTAACAAATTTATTGGAGATACAGTTCCATACCATAAAATTTTCCCATTAAAAATGTACAATTCTGTGATTTTAGTGTATTCACAGAGTTGTGCAACCATCACCATAATAAAGTTGAGAACATCTTCATACCCCTAAAAGAAATGCCAGCTATGCCCTCTGCTACAGTCCCAATGCTTGTGCACCACCCCCCATTCATATGCTGAGACAGTAGAGCCTTTGGGAAGTGACCAGGTCATAAGGGCATCTCCCTTATGAATGGGATTAGTGTCCTTATAAAAGAGGACCAAAAGATGGGATTCCTTATCCTTCCTACCATGTGAAGACAAAATGGAAGGAGTTATGAAAAGTGGACCTTCTCCAAAACCTAACTATGGTGCTCCCTTGATCTTAGACATCCCAGCCTCTAGAGCTGTGAGAAAGAAAATTATATTGTTTATAAGCAACAGTAATTCTGGCTGTGGAACGAATTCTGTGATCAGAATTAAGTTCATGAACCAAGGTACCACTATACTCAGTCGCTTATAATTTGGTAGATTATAAACAAAAGCCTAGATAGGTTAAGATGACTTCCTAGCCCCTTTATTACCCCAGCATCGGGCAACCACTATTCTATTTCCTATAGATTTCTATAGATTTCCCTAGCCTGGCATTTCATGGAAGTGGAATCGTACAGTCTGTGGATTGCCTTCCTTTTCTTAACGTAATGTTTTCACAAGATTCATCTATGCCGTAGAATTTATCAGTACTTCATTTTTCTTTTTCTTTATTGTAATAAAAACATTTTATTACAATAATAAAAAAATAATAAAAAAAAATACCACCTTGTAATAAAAAAATTTTACCACCTTGACCATTTTTATATACACAGTACGGCAGTGCTAACAACTGTATTTGCACATTGTTGTAGAGCAGATCTCTAGCATGTTTCATCTTGCAAAACTGAAATTCTGTACCAACCTGGGAAGTCCCCTCTTCCTCCTCTCTCTCACCGCTGGCAGCCGCGACTCTACTTTCTGATTCTGGGCTTTGATTACTGTAGATACCTGACTTTCCGTCCCCTTCTTTGGGCACCTCATTGGTTCCTGACACAGTGGAAATTTCAGGCTCTCTTTGTTCTTTCTTTGCGCCACATCTGTTATTAGCCATTGTTTTGACCTCTTGGGGGCGCTCTGATGATTTCATGCGCTGGTTTATTGCGTTTCCATACAGAGTGCCCACTTTAGAGTGTGGTGAATTTTAGAGAATATCTTCTTTACTTTATGTTGACACAATCATTTTTTAAAAATACTTATTATTATTCTTTTGCTGCCCACGTAGAAATGGATTCCTCCCAACTTTCAAAAGGAAAGGAAATTCTCTTTACTGATAGGGAGGTAAAAATGCTGCTGCCACTTTGGAAAATGTTTTCGCAGTTTCTTATAAAGGACTCACTGACCCAGAAACCTGACACCTTATGTTTGCCCAAGAGAAGTAAAAACATACATTCACAATGACTTCCACAAACATGTTCCTAGCTGTGTTATTCACAGAAGTCAACACTGGACGGAGCCCAGATGTCTGCCAGGGCTATGATAGAAATCCAAGCAGGGGCTGGAGATTTAGCTCAGCGGCAAAAGCGCCTGCTTGGCAAGCGCAAGGTCGTGAGTTCGGTTCCCGGTACCGGAGAAAAACCACAAAAACAAACAAACAAAAAAAAAAAAAGAAATCCAAGCATAGTATGTTCACACAATGGATTTTCACTCATCAGTGAAAAGAATGAGCTACTGACACACAGATGAACTTCAAAAACCAGAATACCACAGTACACTATTACATGATTCCTTTTACAGGAAGCTCTAGAGAAGACAAAACTGGTGCATAGTGACAGGGAGTAGGACAGTCACTGCTTCTTCGTGTAGGACAGCCTGGAAAGGCACACAGGGAACATTCTAGGGTGATGACAGTGTTCCTCATCTTGTTTGGGGTTTGAATTACACAAGTATGTATTCATTAAAGTTTAGCCTTGGCAAATAGATACATACTTGTGTATAAAACGTG